ACCTGGAACTGGAGTTAAGGAAGGTTCATAGCTGCCGTGTGGGTGCTGGGAATAGAACCCAGGTCCTCTGCAAGAGCAGTCAGTGCTCTTAACTGCTGAGCCATCTCTCCAGCCCCTCCAGCAATATTTTAAATACTGTAAAACACCACTCTAAACGCAAATTATTTGAATGGTACTGCTTGGTGTTTGTTGTTCCTGATTGCTTATATAAATTCATTGAGAACTTGCCTTCACATATTTCTTCTTCAAAGTCCTACAGTCACAAAGTATTACAATGGAAAACTTTTTTAAACCTTATTTCAAAATGACCTTAAAGTTGACACTAAAAATAGCAAATTTGCTTGTGAGCATTAAGTGAATCATATCTTTGGATGTTGGGCTTCCTTTGTTCGCTGATGACATTCATCTATTCTGTCCTTCCACCTGACGAGGTCCATCCTCTCCCTCTGCTCTCCGTACACTTCAGGGCTACTTAAGTACCTGCTAACTCAGTCCTCTTTGCCCAAGATCCACTGTGAACCCCATTCCCACAGCACCGGGCAGGGTGTGCTCTGACCTGATGTAATCTCTTCAAAGCTGTCGTCCCCCCACCTCCTCAGAGTTACTTTTCCTGCGTTAATTTTTCTGTAAGTCATTTCCCTCGTCTAGAATTTACGGACAGTGACATCAAAGACCGTGTCCCCGTGGTCTGAAATGGGATTAGCAAAATGGGTCTGTGTTAGATGAAAATAATTCAAACGTTTTCACCCGTGACAAGAGGTACAAGACGCCCACGCGTCCACAGTAAGGGTTATTTATCCATGGAGGTTAATTTATCTTTCAGAAACTTGTGACCAAAATATGAATTTTAAAAAGGTATTGTATCCAAAATGGAATCAAATCTCTTTTATTACTTTTTTGTTTTGCCCCGAGGACAAGTTTAGAACAAGCAACCACATTCAGAACCTATTGTTTTATATCTCCTGTGGTGGTTGTCACTTTGGAAGGACACCTCTTGGTCTAATTTACGACATTAATCTTCCCTGAGTTACTGAGCCCAGTTCTTTCTGTGGATGCAGGACTCGGAAGGCTGGTCTGTGACAGGTGGTACATCAGGCAGGTCTGCACTGAGGAATGGGTGGGTGTGTTCATTCCTGTTCATAGTTAATTGGACATTCATCTCCCTGATGCACATAGGGGTCGATCTTCACTTGGAGCTGGTACTCCACCACGTCCTGTGGCACAGGAACGGTGTCCAGGCTGGTCAGTCAGGCCCTACATGATCTCAAATTCTCCTCTCCACAGCTTGTACAACAGGAGCTAAGCGACAGTATTTGCAGGTTATCAGTCTCATGGTATATTTTTCTGGCTCTTTGATGTTTGTGGGTTATGACTTCATCTTTCTTTACACTTCATTTGATGGTTTTATCATCTGGCAAATTTCTGTCCAAACTCCCAGTGTGTTGGCAGCCATCTCCTGGCTTCTTTCTAAACTTTTTTTCCCTGAATCTCATCAGTTTTTTCAAATATTCTAGCAATGTATCTTGTTCTGCATAAAGTATAATTCTTCGTAGACAAATCCCTTACCTCCCACATTGGGAAAAATCTCTGAGAGCAAGATTCCTTTATGCATTTTAGTTCATTTTTGGGTTTCTGAGAGTACTTTGGCTGAAAGTATTTACTTTTATTATAAATACTGTTACCATGTTAATTATAAGCATACTGATACATTCTCCTGATAAAACAGGGGCCAGAGTGATGGCTCAGTGTAAGAGTTTTGCTGGTCTTACAGAGGATTCAATTTCTATTCCCAGCATCCACGTAGGTCTGCTCACAATAGAAATCAAGATCACATGGGTTAAATATATTGGTATATTGTGCCATAAAAGTACAGAGACCTGAATATTAGTAATCTTTACGGAGAAAGAAAATTTCAATTTAAGGGACAAGTAATGAATCCAAAAAAATAGTGTTTCAGTGTGTAAAATTTTAATTTATCCACCAAATGGCAAGATGATGCCACACTACAAATTCATACATCATATTGGACAGAATTACAGTCAACATGTAGTCTGTAACAAGAGAGTATGAAGTAGAAAGTAATTGATAAATTGACAAAATTCACAATTTTGTTATTTAATTCAATAAATCCTTTCACCACTGTGAATGGAAGTTTTAGTGGTCAACACAATCAAGAATCATCTGGGAATACTATCTCAGTGAGGGAATGTCTAGGTAAATTTGGCCTGTGTAACTGTCTGTGAGGAATTTTCTGAGATGTGTTTATTGAGATGGGAGGACCCACTGATTAAGTAGGACCATTCTCTCTGCTTGGAGTCTAGGGCTGAGTAAGAACAGGAAAAGCCTCCTGAGAGGTGGGCATGAGCCCATCTGTCCTCTCTCTGTTGGTGACCGTGGAACTGGGCATCTTTGACTGTGGGCAGATGTGACAAGCTGCTCTAAGGTCCCTCCTTGACTCCCGCCCAGTGATGGTCTGTAATCTAGAATTGTAAGCAAATTAAGTGTTTTTTCCCTTGAAGTTGCTGTTTTCAGGGTATTTATTACAGCAACAGAAAGAAATTAGGGGAATTGCAAATGTTTCTATAAAACAAAAATTACAGGGCTGGAGAGATGGCTCAGTGGATAAGAGCACTGGGTGCTCTTGCAGAGGACCTGGGTTTGATTCACAGCACGCACAGATCAGCCAATTACCATCCATAACTCCAGCTCCAGGGGAATCAAACGCTCTCTTTTGACCACCACAGGTATTGCACAACATGGGTGCACAGGCAAGCAAGCAATACACTTATAGACATAAAAATATTAAATAAAATTTGAAAAACACAGATTAAATAACATTTCATGAATTTTCACTATTAAGGTAAATATAGCTGTAAGAGACTAATTTTAGGGAAGAGAGAAGAAAATTTGGATAGTCATGTATGCTATTTAAATCGTTTAAGAAAGATATATACAGGTGATCTTCCTAGTCCTCACGTGTTAAGGATTCAGGCACACCCTTTCCCACACATGCAATTGTTTTAACACAGATGCAAACTGGGGTCTTATTACCCCTGTTCTACATACATGGTATTAGGGGGTCCTTCTTTCCTGAGCTCTGACAGTTTCCATACAAATTCTGTGGATCACAAAGATGTAAAGAATGACATTGGACAGCTATCTTTTTGTTACTAACAATTACACAGCAAAATAATCCTGTGGAAAAATTCAAACATGCCCCTGTCCTCAGTGAACTATAGGGAAACGGATATTCCCCTGTGAAGGATGCTTTCTGATCTGAAGCAGAGTAATCACGTAGCCACGGTGACTATGATTTGGTTGATTTTGCTTAACTTTGCATAGGACAAATTTTGCTTTGGGGTTTTGCAACTCGGGTCACAGCTTATGAAGCTCTTGCCATATCTCAAGAAAAATAATGCCTTTTTCAATAAAGGTGTTCCCAAACATAGACAATCAAAAAGAAGCACATCCTTTAATAGGACAATGTTTAATTTTGATCATTGTTTGAACATGTAGAGGTTTCCACCTCTACCTGTTGCACCTTTGATATTCTGTTGCATGCTAAAATTATGTAAGGCATAATTTCAGAGGGACCTATTCTGGATAGTTCTCTCTGCAGGAGGTGCACATGAGGAGATGCCTGCTCTTGAACTGTATGAAAATGATTTGGTGACGTTACTGTAGCCTTCTGGTAGTAGAAGCCTTTTACGACTTCAACCTGATATCATAATTGTTGCTAACACTCCAACACCCTGGCATGGCCATTCACCAAGCATCTTACTATGCAAAGTGATCCCTTAGCTCTGGGAAAGTCCTGCATTAATCACTTTGGCAGGCACTGAACTCTCCTGGAAGATGCCGCCACGAGGTTTTCTAGCTTGTACTAAGTCAAAATTGTTTAAAAAAAATATACACAAAGATCACACCTTCATTTATAAATTTCCTGCTTCAGCCTGAAAGAAAATCCTTCGGTTTTATGATGAGTGTTTGCAGCAGGGAGTGACACTGATAAATAATTACAGCAGCTTAGAAAAAAATTTCCTTTCACACACAGACAATGATTACGTTTGCTACAAACTAAAGCTTTTCCATCTGTTTCTGTGTTAAATTCTAATCTTTATAGAAGATGTATGATTAGTTTAGGGCTGTTGGCTCACTGTGAGGACGGTCATATCCCTCTAGAAATAATTGCTATAAGGTTATTTGTTTTGCCTTGACCAAAGAACCTATGAGAAAATTGACATTATGGTAACAATGGCAGATCATCAAATTTTCAATCAAAATTTAGATAGAAGGTCTGCGGCGATTGCTCAGTGGTTAAGAGCGCTCACAGATTTTGCACAGGACCTGAGTTCAGTTCCCAGTACCCACATCAAGTGGCTCACACCTCCCTGTAGCTCCAGCTCCAGGGGCTCTGACCTCTTCATCTAGCATCTACAGGTGCTGCACACACATGTACACACACAGACACACACCCATGCATGTTTAAAAACAAAATACCTTTGGAAACAGACTCAAATGTAAACTTTTACAGAAGTTTTGCTGAAGCTGAGCGTTGAGACCAGGGCCCTGCACGTGCTGGACAGGAGCTGCATCGCTGAGCTACACCTGCAGACTCTGAGCTAGCTCTCATACTGTACGGTTGAATTTATTTGCCACACCATACAAGAATGCATTTTAAGTTGCCTTCCATGAAGAACATGTTCTTATTAGGGACAGACTCCGATCACATTGAGCTTTGGAAGTAGAAGTAAATTTTCTAAGTACAATATTACCTATAGTGTGGGTGGTAGTGTACATGTTGAGTGTCAAGGTCTGAATCAGCACATTCAGATTTTTCTGACTAGAAACTTTGCTTCAGATTGCAAGATTTGCTCATCAGTATTTGTAACAATTTATCTCAGGAATAGCAATAATATGTAAGAAAATGAATCTATCCCATCTTCTGCACATAGCAAATTCATTTTTAATGTGATGCTGATCAGTAACTCTCTCTTTAGGGTTATGGAAACATCCCTCACATAAAGGAACTGAAGTCACTGGTCAGTGGAGGACAGAGGGACAGGACAGCAAGGTAGGCACTGGTTACAATTTTCAATAACATTGTAAGCTTTTTGGATTTTCTTTTCTCCTTACAAAAAAGTAGGTACTTGGGTCTATATTTCTCAGTAAGTTTATTTATTGTGCCTCGAATTTAGTTCATGGGTGCTTTCCAAATTCTTATGTAAATTTATTTATATCTCCTGAATCTAAGCCAGAAAGAAGGAGCAGAGTTCATCAGAGAGTATACAGAAAGCTTTCTCTGGAAGAGTGGAATGGGAGTGGTTTCTCCTTAAACACATTTGAAATACACCGACTTTTCTGTGTTTAGATTATTCTTCATTGATTGTCTCAGTGTCCTGGAAAGCACTCTGGTGGCAACTTGGGAGACACCCTGCGTCTATTATGGAGTATCAAGTCGGCTGCTCTTTCTGAATTTGGCTGCACACAAAGACCACAGCTGAGTGTTAAGGACACAAGCTTGACATTTTCTGGATAAAAATCCATTTTCTTTTCTGTGTTCTGAAGCAAGGCTGATGCCCTTATTGCAGAAATGGCTTTAGAACTTTAGAATAACAAAATGGTAGCTAAGATAAAATTTGTCCAACAAAAACCTCAGTGAAAACCAGAAGAAAGGCTTTTAGCATCTCTCACAGTTTAAGTCAATGGAAGTAGAATCACAGGTAGAAATCCATAAAAGTGGTTCAAGACTAGGTTCCACCTGGAGGTGAGGAGCTATGGACAATCAAAAGCTGCCAAGAGAGGAAGACTCGGTTTTCTCTACTTATGAGTTCCCTGATAGGTTTCCAGTCCCAATGGGTCGGCCCTGAACTCACATACATTTGAGCAGCAAGAAATGAAAGCAGTAAGTGACAGGAATATTTAATGATTTCATGAAATTACTTGAATGCTGTTTTATACAAGAGTTGATAAAAATTTAAAAAGCACAATTTGAAATAATTCATTTAATAAACAAGTTCAAATTTTAAAATTGATTGCAGTCTTCAGAGTGCAGAAAGCTTGTTACTGTGGGGTGCGAGCCGTCTTGAAATGCAGGTGAAGCTTTGTGTTTCAATCATAACTTAATGTCTATGGACAGTAAGTTCCCAATGACAATATATTTCTGATCATTTATTCATGCAAATGATCATGGGTAATGCTTTAAAATAATGATTACATTTTTTGATGAGTGTGAAGATAATTGAAAAAGGTGTTGAAGACAGACAAATTTCATGTCCTGAAGTGTAGTGTGGGTAAATTTTAAAATAATTAAAGTTTATAAATATTAATACTGTTTCCAGCTGTATCAACAAGCTAAGGACAAAAATCATTGGCCAAATATAATGATATGAAATCATCAAATGGGAATTTTCTATGGATAGTCTGAATGAGGTCATCAAACAGCAATGTAGGCTGCAGATCCACAAAGTTCTCAGTCTTTACTGCTCGGATATTTTCTCCTGTAGAAGCTTAATTTGTGTTAGCCCGGCAGAGATGGCACTAGTCTGAATGAGGTCATCAAACAGCAATGTAGGCTGCAGATCCACAAAGTCTCAGTCTTTACTGCTCAGATATTTTCTCCTGTAGAAGCTTAATTTGTGTTAGCCCGGCAGAGATGGCGCTCAGAGTAAGGCTATGATGCTGAAGTCACTGTAGTTTTTACTGCCTCCCATGCTACTTCTCTTGTGGCCATTGGAGACACTCCCTCTGGGGTTAGACAAGTTGCAAGCTTTATAAATCTAAGCCTGAGTCTCTATAGAGCAATGTGTCCTTGTCCCAAGGAAACTTTCTCAAAGCAATCAAGGCCTGGATCCTTCTGGATCCTATACTTCCCGTGACCTCTGAACAGTACTCAGTGGGAACTTCAGATGTACCTATGGTGAAAAACATCTTTCTTACTCATAGAGAAAACTCCCTGAGAGTTAAGCTTGCTTGGAAAACTATTCTGGTGACTACACTAATATTTGGGGGAGTTATATGTCTGCAAGACAGAAAAATGAGGCTGTGAATCGATTGCTACAAAGAAATCAGCTCTGGCCCTGGTCACTATGTCTATCAGATCATCTTCAGGTCTGTGGTGGGAGAGTACAGCACAGGCAGGTCCTGTCTAGCCCACAGGGAGATGTAGAGTCAACTTGGCAGGATGGAGGTATATTGCAGGGGAGGCAGGAGGGGACTAGAGCAAACCCTGAGGCATTAATACTGCATATTGCTCACTATCTTTCTAAGGGGATTAAAACAGAAAATTGACTTTGGTTATGGGAATCATCCAAGGGTCCCGTTAGAGATATTAGTTCGTATAAACTTGAAAAGGTGGTGACGGTGATGTGGTTTAAGACATCTAGGTCACTGATGCCAAAGCTGATGACCTCAGTTGGATCCCCAGGGTGCACACGATGGAGAGTGAGAACCAGCTTTTACGAGCTGTTTTCTGATCTCCACATGCATGCTGTGGCACACACACACATACACACACACACACACACACACACACACACACACTAGATTAAAGGTAGTAATAATTGTTTGAAAAAAATTGAAAAGATTAAGGTAGACTTCAGCAGACTGTGCCAAGATGACAAGACTTGGGGGTAAGTCATTGCTTCATGAGAGAGAATCGGAGTGGCGGAGGTAAGCTGGTAACAATGTGCTCCTTTTCCGTTAGTCTATGTCTGGGGCTGTGTGCCGCAAGTGAAAAGTATGTGCCAGCAGTGTACTTGAAAGGCACTGCCGTTTAATACCACACAAAGGCCAGGCCCTGCAGGGTGCCAGCAGGGTGGCTCACCAGCTAGTCAATGAGAAAGGAAGCCTAAGTAAGTGTCCTCAGGCCAAGAGAGCGTGTTCACAGCAACTCATGATGTTGATTATACCATGTGTTTAAGTTGTTAGGTGCGGTAAGTCATTCTGAGCATTCAGGGAACATACAAAGCTCTCCGTGGACATCTCAGTACTTGGAGAATGTAACACAATAACTCATGACATCCTGCTGTCTCTGCTCCCCAGCAAAACTGACCCAGAATCCAGCAGGTGCTGAGCTGCTCAGCAGTGCCAGCCTGTCGGTTGCCTTTGCTGACTGCCCTCAGCTGCCTGTTGGGGGTGAGGTTGCTGCTGCCATCTCAGTCATGTGTTCAAGCTTACCATGAGACAGGGAAGGCTGCTCCAACAGTGGGACCCTTATTCCCCGGAGGAGAGCTAGACTTCCAAAAGGCAGCTTCTCTTTTGTGGGAGGGGAACAGGGAGACCTTCATCTGCCTTTGTTCATAGAAGAGGGGACAGAGGAGAAGATAGATCCTTCAGTGGCTTTGAAGATGCCCAGAGTCTCCCGCAGGGACCTTGAATTATTTTATGAGCCTTTTCAGAAACATGAAAGATGATTTCAGTCAGTCTATATCACACACATTCCACACACTGATAAATATAACATGATAAATTTATGGAGTGAGAAAAGGGGAATCAATTGTCTTTTGAGAGAAAGCGAGGATGGGTCAGATCCAAAGACACCCATGGAACCTGCCAAAGATGGATATGATAAAATATGCAAGAGTGTCTCCATTTGAAACTGTATTAGCATCTTTTTAGATTTAATACTTATTTATGAGTGGAGCATTATAAAAGAAAATGGAATCAAACTTCAGAGGGCTTTGCTGTCAGAAGATCTGAAATAGAATCCCAAAACCACCATTTACTGGTGATTTGACTGTATTAAAGTCATTTAGCCACACAGGACTTCATCGTCTTTCATCACTTCTACAATGAGGATAATAATAATTGCCCTTCACACCGTGCAGTTTTGTAACAAGGCTCAAATGAGGTAGTTTTTAAAAATCGCTTCATCAACAGCAAAACACTAGTGCTCTTTTTTTCCCTCTCATCACACACCTACTTTTCTGTCTCACCTGTTTTATGCATGATATACCCACACATATGTGTGTATTGGTATACAAAGCTGTTCTTCAAACTCTTGAGATAATCAATACCATCTAGAGAAATATCCAAGGTGATTGGCAATATCTTTGGTACAGTTTGTGTTTTTCCTCCTGGCCTAAATTCAGTCAGATGTTACGTGCCACCTTGTTAATGATTCCATCCACTCCTCACTTCAGAAGCTTTTCTCTCTGACCCTAGTCCCTCTGAGCCCATCAGGTTGTGATTGACTGTCATACAGTTTTTGTGACAAGAAGATTTGAGGTGTGTTAAATGAGACAGCCTGGCCATGGACAGGACTTCTGTGTTGGTTGTGGTGGCTGGCTCTGGAGGCTTTGGGATCATTAAGGGTGAGGGGAAGGCCTTCTCTTACAAGGTAAGAAAGATATCCTGAAAGTGTGAATTGTGTCACATGGTTAATAGTCTCCTCTACCCACTGTCTGCCACTTAACTAACATCTTATATCTCTCTGTATTCCATATTAGGACAACCTAAAATTAGTATTCACAGATCAGATCAGAAGGCCACACCTAGCACTTACCACCACTAATTATATAAAATTATTCTGTAAATTATTCAATGCACACTCCAGAAGAAGTATATAATATCTATTTATTTGTATATGATTTTAGATATGAATTGTTCTGAGGTTAGCATATAAAAATTACTAATATTTTAAATAGTATGTATAATTTGTTTAGCTTACTCTATACATTTACTCTTGTAAATGGTTACTATTTTCACATCTTAAGATGGCCTCTGTATATTATATTTGTGTGCATATATATACGCATGCATTTATGTATATATGTAACAATAATGATAAGTGAGGAGGTCACAAAATTGAGAGAATGATGATATTGAAAGTATTGGCAGGGTTCATGAGGGTAGAAATGATGTATGAAACTCAAAAAATTTAAAATGTAATACAAATAAAATTCAAAAGATTCTTTAAAATGAAAATAAAATATGTAACTTAGATTGACATGAATATCATGGTAAATCAATTTCCTTGAGTTTCCAAAATTCTAGAATTCCTCTTTAAACTTCAATCAAGGATTGGCCAAGGGCTTTAGTGACATCATATTGAGACTTTCCTTGAGATCATGG